TTTATATATATATACATATACATATATTACAATTTCCTTAAGTATACATGTACACACAAACGTTCTCTTTTTAAACTTTCTTTGTGTTCTAGAACCCAAACCAAAAGCTTTAAAACGTATTAGTATGAGATGTAGCATAAAATACCCACGAAAGGGTAAGCTTCATTTGCCTAAATTTAGAAGTTGTGGAATTCTACATCTCAGCTTGTTCTCTTAGTCTGCCTTTACAGTCTGTGGAAAGAAGATGTCTGAAGACGATTAATCTCATCCGCAGGTAGGTGTCTCAAGTAGGCCAGATGACTCACACTCTGAAAATACCCATTTCTCATTGCCTACAACGGGACTCTGGATCAGACATAAATACATAGCTACATCAGCTGAATTCCAGTGCAGACCACCACGCCTTGGCCCTGGAAGCCCCCTTCTGCCTCTGTCACCGTCACACCCACTGAGCCCCACTCCAAATCCCTGCTAGCTAATTTGCATCATTGGAATTGTTGTTTTCAACATCAAAATGGGCTCTGCAGAATTCAAAGTGCTTTAACTGCCTCTTTTGAGAGCTCTTGACCTATTTTCCCCAAGAAAGTTTTTAGAAAGTACTTAATAACTTTGTGAGTTCTTTAACTTGCATACATACGTGTATATACGTATTCAGGAAAATAAAACAATAATAAAGAATCTTATCTCAACCTTGGATTTGATTCAGGACTGAATTTAAGCAATGTAGTCCCCACTTCACTCCAGCTCACCAATGTCCTTGGAACAAATCTAGTTCTGAATTGCACCCCCAACCTATGCCTTTTTTAGTACTTTTTCCCTCTGAATTTCTTACTCCAAACCTTCCCTGGTAACAGCAATGTCTGTGGATCGGTGTTATTGTCCCTAGTGAGAAGAGTGCAGCGGGGACCTGAAGGTGCTCTGTACACGTTCAGCTATCCCAGACATTTACCTTAAGAGTTTCTACTCATATTCTGCCACTTCATCACTTACTGTCTGGGCGTTGATGTCTAGGAGCCTGTCCACTTCAACACAGAGATGGTGAATAGTCTCTTCAATTTTCTGTTCAGCTGCTTTTTGCTCTTGTTCAATGAACATCAGCGTGTTTCTCTCCTGTCTTTCAACATATTCCTTCATGCAACAGAAATCTTCCATAACCTGGCTTTTGATCTGAGATGCATACTCCTGAAAGGCAGAAAACATGACGTTCACCGTGTTGTTAGAAAAGATGCGTGGAGTATGAGAACCTACTGCACCTTCTAACATGCTCTTTGACTGACCCTGCAGACCAGAAACAGCTGCCTTTATTCAAAGGAATAAAATCTGCTTGACACTGTCATGCATTACCTGCAATGAGATTTTGGGCATGTTAAGGATCTGGACTATTTTATGGCCAGCAGTCTTTGCCTGACAACTTGGAATGATCAATATTTCTTCTTTATGATTTGGATTTTGCATCTAAGAGTTCCAGAAACATTCAGGCTACTCCTGGGGTAGGCAGAAAAAGGCAACAATGCACAACTCCAGTGGTCTTTGTGCCAGCCAAGACAGCAGTTAGTACAGCTGGGGCCATAGCTCATTCTCATCGGCAACAGCAACACAAGGAAACAGAAAGGCAGGTTCCTGCTCTGGCTGGAAGGCCATGCTGGAGTCAGTCACCTCTCCAGGTGGCAGTGGAAACAGAAGCTAACCACAGGTAGCGAATGTACAGTGGGTACCTTCGCTTTACTGAGATCTTTCCCCAAGAGGTGGATGGTCTCTGCAGTCACTTCCACTTGCTTGGAGATGTCCCGTATCTCTTCCTCCTTTAAAGCAACACATTGGACTGTTTATCTACATAACCTCAGAGAAAGCACGACGAGGTCAAGCAGCAGGATAATAAAAATCCCTAAATCACTGACATCAGTTAAGCACTGGGCTGGTTGAGAAGGGGTTTGGAAGACACAATTAATTCTGAGAGGTAATAGTCACAATGAAGCCAACATGCAACGATCATCAATTACATGTTCAAATACAATCACAAGCTTCAGCCCTTTGCTCAACTGCAGAGACTGAAGACGACTTTTTAAATGCATATGTGCTAAAATAATGAAGGTTCAACAGATTTTTCTCATCTCCTCCAAGTCTGGGAGTTATTTTAAGCAGAGCTCTAGACAACGAAGCAGTCCCATTCTGTGCCATTCAGCTGGGTGGAGCTGTCGCACTGTACAGTAACGTTACGTGTCCTGTCAGGAGACTCCAGTGCTACGCTGGTGCAACACCGAGCACCCAGCGCCCGCACCAGTTGTTACCGTCGCACACCGGCTGAATACAGACAGCGACCAGTTCTGGTAGTTCAGCCGCGCGGACCTCAGCGTGCCAGGCACCCCCCAGGCACCCCAACCCCTGCCTTGGCTAAACCTGCCTCTCAGCAAACACGGTACTGTCGCGACACTGCTGGTATCAGCACGTGGAGTGCGAGGAGGGGGGGAGGGGCGAAAAGAAAGATAAAGTCCCCTCAGTCCTCGCCGCGTCCCCGCGCTCGTCACCCTGCTGAGGTGCGGAGAACTGCGGCCAGACTTTGTCCCGGGGGTGACGCTGGGGGGGGCCCGGC